TATATATATATACCTATAATATATTTGGAATCAAACACTCATGTACTATTAGTATAAGGTGCCAAATAAAATTGTATTGTATTGTATTGTACAAAAGAATTCGAGTTACTCAGCACTTTCAAATAAACAAAATGGGGAAAAGGGATCATATAAAAATTCTACAACGGGGAGGGGGTCAGATTCTTTGCATGAATTACCAAGCAAATCCCACCACCCTCCCCTCCCCTCCCCAATAAAAAATGAACAATCAAGACTTTCTCACTCCTATAAATTTGCATTTCTCACTTGATAATACTACTAAACAGCAAATATGGTGCCAAGTGTTTTTGTTTAAGTGTATTAAGAATACTTGACAGACGACTGCAAAGTTTTTTTGATGACTTCTAAGAACCACTCATATGAAATCATTTGAACACAAAGGCCCAAATAACACGTTATAACAATGTCTTTCTTGTTGGTTGTCATGGTGATTCTTAGGGGATCTTCTTTCGTCCCAAACTTTGTGATGTAGGTGCCATCAAGTTTATAAACAACGACAGCATTTTGTTGCCTGTCGCAGACAAGGATCGTTTGAGTCTGGGAATCAATGGCTAAACCATGAGGCTCTTGGAGTTCTTTGCTTCCAAATTCTCGCTCAAGTTTTCCATTTTCATTGAAAACTTTAATGGATGGTTTGCTTGACCCTAGGTTTACTGCCTCCGTGCAGTAAAAGCTCCCTTGGAATAGCACCGCTTTCCTCAAATTGACCCTTTCCTGTTCTAAAGTTGAAAACTTGACTTGAAGGTCATCTTTCAACACAACTATTCCACCATCTCTGTAGTTCTTGTCAAAATCATGGAATGTTCCAGCTGTGATGACAAGATTATCATTGCTGTCAACAGAAATACTTGTTAGAAAAATATTTTTGAATTCTTTAATCGTCTTCTTTTGAATGAAATTCCCGTTCAAATCAAAATAGACAAGATGTCCACAAGGTCCTTGAGTATCATTGTTATTGCTTATGATAACAACTTCATCTTTTTTAGTCACAGTTATCCCCCACAAATCTTCATAGTCAACCTTAAATTGATTCTTGTATGTACCATCTTCATCGAAGATGGTTATATTTTGAAATCTGCTGTCCAAGACGACCAAATTCCCTTGACATGACGTTTCAAGGTCAAAAGGAAAAAAGCTCTGCAAGTCTTTAGTCCTTGTAATAACACGATTATACTTAGGGTCGAAGTAGGAAACAATGTTTTCAAGCGAGTTTTGGGACTTGGATTTGCCAATCTCTGCTGCTCCTTGCTTCTCTTCCTGTATTCTTGCTCGTAAGATTTCCTCAAAGTTACCAACTTCAAGACCTGGTTCAAGTTCTTTTGCGAATTTTTCCAGCTGATTAACGAGGGAATCTTTTGCATCCACAATTTCGTAAACGTCACCTCGCTCTATAATTTTCTCAGCCTTGTCGGTCAATTCCCAGGCTTGCTCTCTCATTTTATCTTTATCTGACAAATGCGATCCCATAACCTCGTCAATCTTATCCAACAAATAGCGTTCCTGTTTGCGGATAAATTCAACAAGTTTCTGTGCTTTTCCCTCGATTTCTTTCTTCACCCTTCCTGTCACGATCACTCTTTCCTCGTCAGTCTTGGCTGAAGTCCCACACACCTTCCTGCAACTCTCGATGGCATTTCTAATCGCCATCTTATCTAGTCTACCAGGAGATCTTTCCATAAGCCTAACAATAAGAGTATTTGTAGGCCAATCTTTGACGCCATTGATGGATAAAGGAGACGCAACGCGACAGACAGGGCATTCGAGAACAGTCAAGCTCCGCTCGGAAGACATCCTTTCAAGACATTGTAAACACACGCTGTGGGCGCAGTTAGGAAGTGATTTGGGCTCCTTGAATTCTTCAAAGCAAATTGGACAAGTGAATTCGTATTCAGACATATCTTGGAGGAATTCGTTAACTGTGTTGCCAACCTTATTCCTCGTCGCCATATTGCTGTTGTGCGCTAATAATAGTTAAATATTCAATCACATGACCACGGTGCGTCACGCGAAACCAGAGTAACACGCTTCAAGACATTCCTTGTCTTTTTTGAGCTGTAACTTGTAGGGTTAATATGCTTTCAAATACTTTCAAAAATTAGAATATTATTTCTAGTATTATCCACCCTCGACCTGCCTTTCTTTATGCAGTTTTCATTTATGTTATTTCATCCAATACTTTTATCGTTTTACCGTACAAAAAAGGATTTTATGAGAAACATTTTGATCTCCTTAAAATATACATAGATACCCCTCCCTTTCAAGAAAAAAATCATTTATAAATATTAATTAATATTAATTAATATTTATGCAAATTTGGCGGGGAAATCCGACCAATCATATTAAATGGCCTGGTTACGTAGTAATGGTATCTGTAATGTATCCGAAATCGACCATGTTGTAATTAACGAACTCTAGATCTTCTTGGAGAGAGAGGATTCAGTTAGATAATTTAAAGGAATTCAAAGAATATATCCTCTTAACCTTCATAGCTTTGGATCGTCGAGAAGAATTTTTTTGACTGTGAGTTTATTAAATCGATTACATCTAGAACTAATAATATTGTTGGCGCGTGTTTGTTCAATCATCATATGGGGATTATGTGTTGTGATGATTTGGATCTATTTCAATCACGCCGTCCAGATAACGTCCAGTTAGTGTCGATACAACTTTTGAGTCTTTAATCACATCCTCCTAAAGTTTTGTTTTTCATTTCAAATTACTTTGCGCTAACACGTGAAGATGAGCAACACTGTGGACAGGAAAGCTGAAACGAAGGAACCAGAAGAAGATGAAGACGATGAAGTTGATAGAGTAGGACCTACAGAAGAACCAGAAGTGGACAGAGATGCATCGACACAAGGTATTATATTTGGAGACTGTTGCTGCTGCTGCTGTTGTCGTTGCTGCTGTTGATGTTGTTGTTGTTGTTGCTGCTGTTGATGTTGCTGTTGTTGATATTGCTGCTCTTGTTGCGGCTGTTTTTGTTTATTGGTGTTTCTGCTGTTGTTGTTGCAGCAGCTTATGCTGTCGTTATTGCTGTTTCTGCCATTGTTGTTGCTGTTTCTGCTGTTGTTACTGCTGCTACAGCTGGTTAACACAATGTGAACAATGTTCCAAGTGAGATATTGAATAGAATCTCTAATGTTGTCTATATTTATAGAACCACCTGGTAGAACAAGACTCATACTTCATGTTCACCCAAGTCAGATAAGTCTTTTAAAGGGTATACCGAACAAGCCCAAAGAGTACCCTCTTGGTCAAAGTATCATATTTGGCAGAGGAGAAAATGTGAATATATTTCTGAATGACCATTTTGCATCTAAACGGCATTTGGAATTGACATATGAACTCCACCAGGGGGCACCTCAAGGTCTTTTTAAAGCAAAAGTTATTGGCAGACAATCAACAGTTAATGATATTCTCAAAACCACTGGTGATGAACTTTATTTAAGACCTAACGATGTCATTAAAATGGGACAGCTCAGGTTTACGACAGAGATAATTAACGGCAATGATCATTCGTCCTATATTTTGGAGTTCAAAAAAGGTTCTCGAGGACCAAACCCAGATCAAGGGCTTCAACATCCGCCATGCTTGCCTCACCAGCCTCCATATCAGATACCTCAATATCCACCTCAAATTCATCCATATAATTCCCCAGGGCAAATGCATCAACCATTTGTTCAGCCTCCACTTTCTGGATATCCTGGATTGGCAGCAATGCCAGTTACTGTTGCAGCATATCCTGCGTCTTTTCCTAATATTGCTATGCAGCCCATCTCACCAGGGAGTGGTCCATCTACCTTTCCAGTGGTTCAGCAGCATTCTCCAATTTATGGTCAAGTGGGAACCAGAAGAGAAGATTTTCAAAGTGGTGGGCGAAGTGCATCAGAAAACGATGATAGGCTTAACCCAAGGCTTTCAGTTGAGGAGACTCAACCTTCAAAGATGGAGTCTTTAGGGGACTCATTTGAGGACACAAATCCTCCAAAACATTAAGGAATACTCAGATAGTACAGTTGACAGTAACATCAGAAAATTTGATACCTTTAGGAGTTTAGAAGTCTCAACCTTGAACATTGGAATTTTGGAGGGAATCACGATACAATTCCTCGCAAACGATGAAGAATTCTCAGATAGTACAGGTATAGTATTGTAGTCATCCATATTTAGAAAGAACTTTTTTTTAAAATTACTTAAAGTTGCATTGTGCATCATTAGTTCTCATAACTCGTTACATGATAAAATTTACAACTTAAAATGCTCTGAATTAGGAATGAATGAATTCATTTGAAACCAAATGGGGGTCAATTTTTGGCAAAGAATATTTCATGGTTTTATGCAGGTGTTTGGATGAAGACTCGGCAAATTCGCAAACAGAAAATTATTGCTTGGACCAAGTGCAATTCTTGAGACATTAATATATAAACAGCTGAAAAGACCCCACAAAAAATTTAAAGATGAAATAGCACTTCTACTAGCTGGTAAAATAAACTGAGAAAAGCTCTAATGCATAATATCAATTAAGTTTTCAGTAGTTTAACATGAAAATGCAGGGAATTGAGTGAGGTGCTTTACATCATGCTATGTAATCCCTTAGAGAATAAAATATAAAAGGTAATGAAACAGTTAAAATATAGGAATTAACAAAATCAAAGTCTTAAAATAAAGCATCAAAGTACATACAGCTTTAAGAATTATAGGCACTTTTTGAAAACGTTTTGAAATTTTGGAAAATTTGTCAAAAACTGGCTTAAGAACATGTGCAGTCACATGTAGTACAGCTATAAACACAGCACTATTCAAATCAAATCTTGCTAAATCCAAATCTCTTAAACCACATTCAAATCAGTATTTTTGCTTTGAGTTTATAGCAGATATAATGGATGCGTGTAAATGAGATACAAATGAGACAACAAGCGTTGTGTCGAACTGATAGCCTTACTTGTATGATTCTTAAAACATAAGAATTTCTCATTGTGAGCTCAACAGCTGTAATAACAGCTATTYTTTGAACTCTTTTTTGTAATACTGTCTATTACATTTTCACATGCAAAGATGCAAGCTTGTTTCTGACATTCACATTTCAGAAATATTTTTCATATCTTTAGGGTTCTTCAGGTTGTATACTAAAAACATTTTGTTGTTGGTTTTTTAATAAAAATAAGTGACTTAAATTATTTGGTATGTTCACTATGTTTAGTTTAAAAAAGTAGGCAGATTTTATTGAGCTTTATTTTTTATCACTTTATCAAAGCAGTAAAATAATAAAGATTGTCTTCATCACAATTATTTTCTAAAAATATAACACCTAGTTTTAATACATTTATTTGTAGCTAAACATATATATATTTTATAATATATTGTTGGACAAATTGTACTTATTACTTTTCTTATATTTCTTTTGATTTTTAATTTGAAAGGACTTATTTTCAAGAAAATATCACATGATGATGTTACATTAGAAAACACTATGTCCATTAAAAAATAGTTTCTTGAAGTATGAATGAATTTTTCGTTCTTTACTGAAATTTAATCTCAGGCTATAGACCTCTTTAGCTGCGGCATTTCAGACGACACTTCATTCCCTAGAGCATCATTTCTTTGTTTAGCAGTAGTGCATTTGAAGACATGAATATGAATACAACTCAAACAAAGAATCTTATTCTCAAGACCACGTGTCATTCCCTAGAGTATTATTTCTTTGTTTAACGGTTGTACATGAGAAGACACATGAATATGGATACAACTTAAACAAAGAATCTTATTCTCAAGACCACGTGTCATTCCCTAGAGTATTATTTCTTTGTTTAACAGTAGCACATGAGGAGACACATGAATATGGATACGACTTAAACAAAGAGTCTCATTGTCAAGAGAATGACACATGATAAGTAATGGGAAAACTTTAAAAACGAAGGGAAAAAATCAAAAGCAAAAGCAATAATTCTCATTAGATGGTCTGTAAAAAATCTATTTGTAATGAGTCTGAACCTGTCCTGGCAATTATATTGTTGTTATGGTTAATGGACTCGAGAGAGCTATAAGAAAAAAAATAAATTGTTGAGCAAAAGCAATGATTCTCATTAGATGGTCTGTAAAAAATCTATTTGTAAGGAGGTCTCTCCAGTCCCAACATCTTACAAATTTTGTTACATTCTGGATGCATTTTCCAAAAATTATCATATCCTTCTTTTCCAAAATTTCCAGTTCCAAAGCACTTGTAAACAGTTGAATGAATCTGTGGATCTGTTAAGAAAGTGCACCCTTGATTATCAAGAGGTGCCCAGCCTTGTATGTCCACAATAATAAGTTTGCCATCAGATGCTTGGTAAGTGAAGTGACTGTATGCCAGAACCAGATCAGTTCGTCTGTGTTTGTTTATCCAGTCAGTGTTGTTGGTGAGTTTGATGAATTCCCCTGACATGTAGGGCTCAGCATTGAAGATTTCAGTTTGGCCATTGGAGTTAACTAGTTGAAGAAGGACGACTGGTAAGAACTGGATATCACCTACTGGAACACCTGAAGTAAGTACAAAGATAGACTAAATCTTTGATATGACCTTTCATTGTTGGTCATTGTCAGTTTTCAACATCACAACTTGTACTCATGCAACCTTAACATCATCAATCATCACCACCACCTCAATCATTATCATCATCAACATTATCACCACTACTCACCATCGTCATTGTCATCACCCATTTCCACCACAATCATCATCATTAAGTACCATTTGTCATTGTCATGACTATCATTAACTTCACCCATCACTACCACCAACATAATCATTATCATCCCCATCACCATCACCATTATGATCATCCTTACCATTAATATCACCATGACATTGCCACCATCATCACTAATTACCTCCACTACCAACACCACAGTTATTACGAACTCCAGCTAAGGTCCATTCCACTCATGTTGTCACAAAATATGGACAAATATTCTACCATTAATCTTCTTACCTGCAGCTTTTTGGTAGAGCTGTTGGTTGAACAAAGCAACATACTGCTTGGCTTTCATCTGACTCAATACATCATTTTGGTACTGTTGCATTGTCTTGTACTTCCGATAACGCTTTGCCACATACCTAAAAACCCAACAGAAACAGAATGTCCAGGAAATGATCCAGACTGTATTAAACTTTTTCATAGGTAGAAAGAGTGAGAAAGTATGGTGGTTAAATTGTTGAAATCTCTTAGTTCCCCCTTAGTTTAGGAAATGTTGTTTTCTATAGAAGCAAGGTGTGAATGAATAGGCTTCCTGACTCTGGACATCATGTTTTCCCATTTTAAACCACATGTCATTGCCTTGAAGATAAAAATAGTCTTAGACTTAGGTGGAAGCATGTAGGGGGGTTCGGAGGTATGCCCTTACCCCGGGGGAAGGGGGGGTACTCCCCTATATTCGCTATACAGGTACGTGCCGCCAAACAGGGTATGGTTTTCACTGATTCTACTCTGGAACAGGGTACATAAAATTGCGTTCGGTCTGGGACAGGGTATATGAAGTCACACTCTATTTTGGCAATACCGGAATAGGGTATGATTTTCAGCCATCTTGCTCTGGAACAGGGTATGAATTTCAGCAATTTTACTGTGGGACAGGGTCAGGGTTCAGTGGGCTCAGCGGCACATCCCTACCCTAAACAGACAAGAGAACCCCCCCTCCCCCCCCCGGGGCCCTTTCAAAACATTTTGAAATGGAGACCCTTGAAAATGAGATTTTCAATTTTCTGAGGGGCCTTTGCAACATATTTAACATGCAGCAAAATCTACCATCCCTATAATGTCCTAGTTAAAGAGGTCTTCCTAAAGGTCTGCAGAGGCAAACCTTCTCCTTTGTTCATTTTCGTTGATAAATTCAACAGCGTACACATCTCTGTGTGATCCTTCTTTTTCCTTGGCAAGTTTCAGTTGGTCTCCAATGTACACCATTGTTGACTGTCCTCTCCACTGGCTCGTTGGATAGTCGTACTTCCAGAGTATGGCATCTGATGATTGAAGGAAGGATGAAAACAGTTAGTCCTTAATGGAATTGTTGTCCTCATAAATTAGTAGCCCATTTCTCACACTCCCGTTGGTACCTTTGACTCGATTTGATTTGCTGTTTGCTGCTTTCAATTCATCTAATGGGAAGAACGGCATGGTTTGTGATGCCCGTATTAAAGATGCTGCTTCATTCTCTAAAGATTGCATAACCATTCCTTCACCTTTTTCCATAGTCATGGAAGACAACTTTTCAAGCGTGGCACGAGTTTGAAGAGCTTGCTCTTCACTTGACTTCTCTGCTGTATCTGCGCATCGATCAACAGTATGCCCCTGTGGTTTTTCTTCCTGCATCTCTGCCGTATCTGTGCATTGATCAACAGTATGCCCTTCTTGAGCTTGTTCTTCTTGCATCTCTGCCGTATCTGCACATCGATCAACAGTATGCCCTTCTTGAGCTTGTTCTTCTTGCATCTTTGCTAAACACAAGTCATGATCAACTGTCTTCTTCAAAACCTGATTTCTCAGATTCTGCTGTGCATTTTTAGATTTTGTGAAATTTGCAACCCTGACTTCATTCCTGATTTCATGTTTATTGAGGTTTTCAAAAAAGCCCACGCTGGACAAACGGTAATTTTCATTCTGACGCACGGTTTTGCGCATCTTGAAGTAATTCACTAGAACGTCTCCAGCATTTGCCAAGTTATCTTGTGAAAACGCCTTTAATCCCAGGAGACTGAGACACTGATCAACCATCCCAGTCATTGTATTTGTGAGTGGGACACGATCACTGGACAAGCAGTAGTGTTCGTACAGTTCTGTAGATAAGTCCTTGAGCTTCATCCCTTTTTCCTTGTCCTCATTGGAACCAATCTGGAAGAGGGCGAGACTTATCCTATACACGGCACATACTAGAAGGTAAAACTGTTCTCTGCTCGTGAGTGAAGGGTATGATTGATGGGCTTGTATGCTGTCTTTTAGGTCTTCAATGGCAATTCTCAGGAGATGTTGTTTCTCGTTCTTGTCAGGGATGAGGATAAGATACTCGAACAACACTTCTCCTGCTTGGTACTGCAAAAATATTAATTGTTTTAATAGTTAATCTTCCTACTTACATGTAATGTAAATTTGAGTGTAAATTTCCCACGCATCCAAATTTTGTATTTCATCCAAAGATAAGAACAATCAAATCAAATAAGTTACTTATCTCTCAATGTGTGGCTTGTGGCTTACAGTGTGTCTGACAAAGAACAGTGGAGTGTAGGAAGACCACTCGGCAGCTTCTTGGCTACAGAAATAAGCAGCAAGAAGAGGATGACACGTGACTAGGCCAAATGTCTGCGCAAAAGTATTGTAGTCTGTAATGGTCATGTTACGAAGACACCGGCACAAGATTCCATAACTGCGAGCAAAACACTGTCGATGGGTATGGATACATGAAGAAAAAGATTTCATTCTCAACACATTTATCACATTAATAATATATTTTACAATGTTGTATTTAGGTACGACAAATGGGTAATAAATAACTGCAACTCCTTCAACAATTATGTAATTTAAACATCATTAGAAATGCAGCTTCTTTCTGTTTTTTTTTTCTTTTTTTTCTTTTTCTCTCTCTGTAATGTTGATGTCCTCAAAATGTTGAGCA